AGGAGGCAATGCTTTTGCTTCAATTACCTGCTGTGACGTTGTCACAGCATAACCTGCATACCGTGTCCCATTCCCCACAAAACTGCTTCCATCTGTGAAAAGTTCCCAGTCTGGTTGCTCAAGAGGTACATCTTTCAAGTCTGTCCTGGTTGCATATGTATGTTCGATAACCTCTATACAGTTATGTTCAAGGGTTCCTTCTTCTAGATCAGTTCCTAGAAAAGCTGGATTCAACAAGTTAGTGGTTTTCAAACTCACATCATCTTGTTCTGTTAATATTGCTTGATATTTCATCATTCTGCTAGGGGATAACCAATACCCCCCTTTTGTTCTAAGATGGTTGTTACCATGTGCGGCACAAACACTTCAATGTGTTTTCCCAAAGTCCGTTTTCTGGCCTCCTGTATTAGAACGACAGTTGCTGCTACTGCTCTTAAACATGAGGGCCATCCCGCACTTACCGGGTCTAGTTGTTTTGAAAAGTATCCCACTGGTCTCTTCCAGCTTCCCAGTTTCTGGGTTAATACTCCCAGTGCTAATCTCTGTCTCTCATGGACAAATAACTGGAAGTCCTTTGTCAAGTCCGGGAGTCCCAATGCCGGGGATTTCATTAATTCCTCCTTCAATTTCTTAAAGACCTCTCTCTGTGGTTTATCCCAAACAAAAACAGGTGCTTTCTGGGCTTCATACAGGGGTTTAGCAATAAGTCCATAGTCCATTATCCACAATCTGCACCACCCTGCCATACCCAGAAAGGTTCTTACCTCATGTAGATTCCGTGGTTCTGGAATGGCACAAATTGCCTCTATACGATTTATTCCCAGTTTTCACTGCCCCTGTGAAATTTCACATCCCAGATACAGTACATTCATGCGTGCAATTTGTGCCTTTTCTTTTGAGACCTTATAACAACTGAAGCCTAACTGATTCAGAATTTCAATTGTTATCTTTATGCACAGGGACTCTTGCTCTGTTGCAATAAAAATATCATCCACATACTGCAGCAAAAGGTATTGTGATCTTGGTACCTGTATTTTTCCTTGAGTGGTCCATGTTTCCAATTCCTTGGCTAGCTGGTTCCCGAATAAGGTTGGACTGTTCTTGAATCGTTGTGGAAGTCTGGTCCATGCTAGTTGTGTCTTTCGTCCATTCTGTGGATTTTCCCATTCAAACGCAAATGATTTCCTACTACTTTTGTCGAGGGGAATGCAGAAGAAGGCATCTTTTAAATCAATTACTGTAAACCACTTATACTTTTCCTTCACAGATGTTAACAATGTATAAGGATTTGCTACGACCAGATGGATATCCTTTGTTATTTCACTTATAGTCCTCAGATCTTGTACTAACCTATACTCGCCATTTGGCTTTTTTACTGGAAATATTGGTGTATTGTATTCTGATTCACACTCTTCCAAAATTTGATATTTTAGAAATTTCTCAATTGTTTTTATAATTCCATATCTCGCTTCTAGTTTCAATGGGTATTGTTTAATTCTTACTGCTCTAGCTCCATACTTAAGTTCCACTGTTACTGGTTGAGCTACTTTTGATTTGCCTGGAATTTCTGTCTCCCAAACTGTCGGTATCACAGCCTGTTCTACCTCCTCTGAGATTCGAGCAATAGGCTTATCTTTAAGGACCAGAATTTGTCCTGTTTTTGATTCTGGAATTTGCATTATTAACTCACCATTTTCAAAAATGATTATTGCATCTAATTTAGCTAGTAAGTCCCATCCCAGAAGGGAAATAGGGCATTCAGGCACATATAAAAATTCTTGTGTTAATTCTTTCCCTCTGAATCGCAAGTCTAGGGGCTGCAAGAACGGATGTACTTCTTCCTTCCCTGTGGCTCCTACAACTGTCATTGTCTCTTTCCCTAATCTTCCATGTAAGTCATTTAAAACTGAATACGTGGCCCCTGTATCTGCTAGAAACTTTATTTCTTTATTTCCCAATTGAATTTTTACAAGGGGCTCCTCGTTTCCCACCCTGCCTAGTCAGCTTTGATTATCATACTCTCCCAATACCATCACTTTAACTGCCTCCGATCCTGCAAAAGGATTCCTGGGGGGACATAAATTGTTCTCCCCTCAATGGATATTCATTTTTCCAATGTCCTTCTTGTTTGCAATTAGCACACTGATTATATCCTAACCTTCCTGTATTCATTCTGGTCCTAGGATTATAGGATCCTCTTCCCCGCCCTCGTCCTCGTATATTTCCTCGACCCCTTCCCCTAGGATTAGAGACTCTGTTCTTTTCCCTGTATCACTGCCAGTAAATTTTGTTGCTGTCTCCGGGAGCTCTCTTTTTCCCAATTATTATACACTTTCCAAGCCACCTCTAATAATCTATCCAAATTTCGCAGGTCTGCTCCCTCCAGATTCTGCAGCTTTTTCCTGATATCATCTTGGGACTGTCCTAAGAAAAGTAAAGCCAATTGAGCTCTAGCCTGTTCAGTTTCTACATCTAAATTCGTATACTTTGCAGTTTCTTTAAGCCTTTCTAGAAAGGTAGATGGTGATTCTGTCTTTTCCTGCCTAACGTTATATAATTTTGACCAATTTATTGTTTTGGCCATAGCATTCCATACCCCAACGATTACCCAATCTTGGTATCTTCGTAAATTCCTCATTCCCCCTGGTGAGTTATAATCCCACATTGGATCTTCCATCTGAAAGTTCTGATCTAGATTTCCTATGACTAGCCCCTGTCTGATATCCTCCTGAACCCTCTCCCTAGCAGTTCGCAATACCATTTCCTTCTCTGTTGAATCCATAAGAGTATCTAAAAGTACTCGGATGTCATCCCAGTCTGGATTCTGGGTTTTCATAATTATTTTCATTACTCAAGCTACTTTATCAGGGTTTTCTCTATATGTCCCTGCTATTTCCAGATAACCAAATCCCCCGGGGTATTTTAATGTATATCGGTTGTTCCGTTCCTATTCCCTGTCGTAAGAGTACAAGCACTGCATTGGGCGCCTGAGCCTGTAACTTTCTTTCCCGTCCTCCCCTCTGACGAGTTTGGTGTGAAACTGGAGTATCAGGGAGATCTGCCCTCTGCCCTTTACATTCATAGTCACTCTCACTCTATCATTATTGTCCTCCTCCCTCTTCCCTCCGTTTGTTGCCAGCGGGGCTGTCGGAGCTGTTACTAAATCAAGATTTTCATCATCCCTCTGGTGCTGCAAACTATTTTCTAAGGCAAGACACCCAATACACCTTTTTGCTGCAACACACCCCTTACATTGTTCATTTGTACTCATTTTAACAACCATAAGTCCGCAAGATTTTTGCCATTCCTCATTATTTCTTAAAGCAAAGAATAGATCCACATATGGTACCTCATCCCATTTTCCTTCCCTTTTACAATATAACATCAACTGCAATATAGTATTGTACTGTAAAGTCCCATTTTCAGGCCATTTCTCCTGATCCTCTACTTCATACTGTGTCCACCATACATTACAGTAATCAATTAGTTTACTTTTTTTCATACTGTGCCCAAATCGACCCTTCTTCCAGTGGCTTAAAAGACAGCCTAATGGGGATGACTTAGGGATCGACGACATTTTATAAATACAAAGAGATCTCTAAAACAAGTTTCTTCCACCACTGAGTTATAATGTCTAGCTAGACAGATGCTGATCCCGCAGCACAAAACCAAACCAAAACCAGACCAGATTTGCTGAACCTTCAGAGATTTCGCTACTGTCTAACGGACGGCGCCTAGGCTTACCCCGGGAGCTCCCTGCCCAACCAAGCGCAGCTTTCGCCGCGTCTAACAGGCAGGCTTTACCAGACCAGACTTCACCAAACCGAATGCAGCTTTCGCCACATCTAACAGGCAGGCTTATCAGAAGTTGGTACACTACACACTATCAAATATCGGTACCGTAACCAGATTAAAAAGAAAAGCACTTTCTTACTGCATCAGTGGTCCACCGTGAGCAGCGGAGGTTGGTCACAGTCGATGGCTCCCCGAGAATTTCTCGGTGCCGGCTGGAGCAGGATCGAGACGCGATCCGCCTCAGCAGTGCCCGCAAGGTCCCATCTTGGGTGCCAAAATGTTAGCGTAAGAACTGACACATAACCACCGGAATGGTCATATGAGGTGCTTTACTCCCAGCAGCGCTGGGAAACCAGGGGCACGTGCCCAAATCTGGCTTCAACCCTGTCACATCACGCTCGCAATTTATACACTAAAAATGTCGTCACTAATACATATTCAACACAGGTTACATCATTGACTAATACATATGCATCAAGGATTGCCACATCAGTCTATTACCACATCAGCCTCTTTTGCGCTTGCGCAGCCCCCCTCTGGTTGTCGTCCTGATGAAGTAAGGAGTCTTCCTCAGATGAAGTAAGGAGTCTTCCTCAAATGAAGTAAGGAGTCTTCCTCAAATGAAGTAAGAAGTCTTCCTCAGCTTGTCCTGTTCACCTTTCTGTTCCTTGGACATGTCCCAACCATTATGTGGATGCCAGCATTCCCTTATTTTCACTTGACTACTCCTGGTACTTTCGTGAGTTCTGCTTCAGTAGAGTTTCACAATACTCCCCTAAATCCACCCATATACACTTCCCCATATATGGCTATGTTAATTGCTTATCATTATAGCTACCATTGTAATATTTAGTTATAAAGTAACTAAGATACACAATAGTAGAATTTCAACTTGTTCTTAATACAAAAGAAACCCTCTACTGATTAACAGATTTTCAAATATAATTATCTTTTCTCTTTGTACTTTTGTTTCAACACACAATTTCATCTATTACTAACATTACCATAATGGGTTCTTTCCCTGATATCGGATCTGAGCCTACATCGGTTAATGCATAAAAATGTCTAATCACTGGGAGGATATTCATGCCTGTGTGTAAATCAGAACTGGATAATGTTAAAAAATTTAAGACAAACAATGCGTTATTGATTCGTGCATTTGAGGTCTCCCCTATCAATCCCCCTTTTTGTTTTGCTAGCATGTGTTTACAATTTGATGTGTCCATTCTGTTACTGCTTGACCTGTGTAATTAACATAACCACCCACTACTCCAGGCAGCACTATTTCAGTAAGATTAGTCTGATTTGAAGTCACTTGAGCTTTTATAACATGTAGCATACCAGTGAATCCTATAGACCATGTAACAGGTCTGAATAACATGGGATTTAACAAATGTGCCCAATATACTTGTCCATTACCTATGGTCACACATAACAGAACAGATATTATAAAGATTTCTGTCATTATCATTTCTTTATGTTGTTGAGTTCTGGGGCTTTATACATTTTGCTGGCAGACAGTATGGTCTTGTCAATAGCTGTATACAGCCATATCCTTGACCCCATGTCAGCAATGGCACTGGTCCTTTCCACTCATTATCCTGTAGGTCTTTATATAGAACAGGTCTTTATACAGGTCTTTATATAGTTTGGGCAAGGAATCATCCGTCAGATGTCACAATTGCTGTATTGTGGAAAGAGAATCAAAACTAGACAGATTTAAAGAATTTAGTACAAATTGCACTTTTGCTAACTGTCCGTGTGGAGAAAATCCTTTCATTCCCCTTTTTTTGTTTTATATATCTTTTAGATGACCCTACTTGAGCAGTGGATTTGGACTACATCATACCTCCAACATATGCCAACCACAGGCTGCTTGGTCTGCCTTTCTCTCCTGGACGGCCTTCTGATAACAGGGGAGGCCATCCCTCACAACAAGGTCTGGCATGGCATGTGTCACCACCACTCCCCGCCGGCTGGGTTGCAGCCAACAGCGGAGCTAAAGGTTCTTCTTGGTGGCAAACACAGACAACAACCCAGTCTTGCCATTGACTGTGGTAGGAGGCTTCTGGCCAACCTCAGTCCTTGCACCTCGTTGTCAATGCAGAGTTTCACCTGCTTCATCCATCACTACCGTGGCAAAGCACATACAGATTTAAATTACCAGAGTAACTATTACAGGGTGCAGCAGCATGTTGAAGATGCTTATGGCAGCAAGGGATCAGCCAAAGAAATTTCCTACCAATGGAGTTCTCCCATCCTCTTAATTTGTTCCATTACCTGCTTTGTAACACTACCATTACGTTAGAATCTTTCTAGCTTTTGCCTTAGCATTTTCTAGCAGCTGCTGAAGATTTGCATACTCTAACATCTCTTTTACAAGTGAAAAATCTATACAATACAAGGTGTAGTTTCTTATTAGCAACTGGCTAGTAAATACAGGTGGTTTTGCACACAAAAAAAATCACAGCCTCTAATAATAGCTACTTTACAAGCACATATATTCAAGCTGTTACTTTTCAGTTGCCCCCAAGTGATGTTTTGCAATCATTCGTTTTTCTCTATCTTATTCTGCTCAGTGTATTCATGGTCAGCTCCTGTAGCTGAGGCTTTAGGTTCTTCCACTCCTCTGTCCAGTTCATGGCAAGGCTTGACAAACTTTGCAGGCAGCTGCCATGGACCTGCAGGTAGGAGGACACAAATATACCCCCTCTCCCAGGTTATCAGTTCTTGAGAAGTAGGTTAAAGTGTCACCTTAAAGCAGAAGCATTCTGATGCAAAAGGAATGTGAAGCAGCTGCAGAAGTAAACTGCAGTGTTAACAGTCAAGGAGTTTGCTGTGTCCTTAACCTTTTTTTTTAATTCTTTCTCTGCCACCCTGATGCTGCTTAGGTGACGGCTGATAAAGCTTGTGGTTGCACTACCCCTCTCGCTTTTTCAGTTTGCAGTTCTTGTTTCAACCGACCCATCTGTTCCTCCAAGTTTTGGATTCACTCCCAGGTTACTTTAAACACACTAAGCAAGGCTCCTGCCATGCAGCCAGCATGTTGCAGGCACTCTTTAGGCTTTGTTTGTGGTGCCTCTATGAACTGCCCCAATCCAATACTTCAATAGATAGAGAGTTTTGTGGTTTTTTTTTCCTTCTTCACTCCTCAGCTCCATTGTCCATCCTGGCCATTCCACTGGTGGAGCACTGGGAGCAGAATCTGAGGCAGCTTCTTTTGAACATGGTTACCTAACTCTTATCAAATGACTGTTTTTTTTCTTTTTTTTCCCCCCCCTCAAAGTTGCTCACCCTGCTTTGTGCAGCTACAAGTGCTGGCCTGCTCGGCAGCAGCTACAGCTGCCTCCCTGCTCAGCAGCAGCCATAAATACCTGCCAGCAACTGCACTTTTGCGTGAACCCTCTCTTGTCTGAAATGTTAATCTGCTACCCGTTCAAAACTTTTACGCAAACCAGACAACAAAAAACACAGAGTACCGTCTGCCCTCAACACACACACACGCATGCTATCCCACAAGCAAACTCCACACAAGTACAATATTTGAAACACAAAATCCAGACAACCATTATGCCCACTACACTGCTCCACATACAGAAGGTGGAGCGAGGACCCTGTGAAAACTAGTGGGAAACCAACTTCGAGAAGCATCATTGCAGTGCTAGGCAGCAGGCTCAACCTTAGCAGGCATCCCTACGGAGGCTCTGCCTCCCCCCACATCGTATGAGGCTTGGGCTTTTATACTGACCAAAATGCACACTCATTCTGACACAGGTGGCCAGCCTACATCAGAAGAAGTAGCCAGAAATACCTATAAAGGTTTCCAAGGGTCAATAGAAGCATGGACATACTTATATTTGCCAACTTCTAGTACATGAGTATCACAGAGAGACTGTATCAAATGAGTTGTACATGGGGTCCCAAGTCCATGGTCCGCCATGGTCTGCATATACGGGGTCCCAAGTCCAGTCTGCCAAGGTCTACCCAATATGCCCAATAAGAGCATACAAGAGACTTTCCCACCGCAGATCTTGATCCGGCACAAACACCACCAGGAATGTACACAATACATTTGAATCCCCCACTTGTCTCACTTCTTCCTTTACAGCTGCCCATTTATCATGACGATCTGGGGGATATAAATCAGGCTCCTTTTCTGGATCAATAGGCCCCGGGTCAAAAGGACCATCCAGGTCAGCATCAGAATTATCAGGCATCAGAACCTTAGGAGCAGAAACAGCAGTCTGATGAACATGCACAGGCTTCTTCTGAGGGTCAATAGGCCCTGGGTCAGAAGGATCATCTTCATCCCCATCCTCAATCTTAGCAGCCACGGTGGTGACCAGCGAAGGTTCTGGGGGGGGGGGGGGGGGGTGTCAGTGGGCTCCACAATCTCATTTTTTCACTTTAACATCTCTAAAATAGTTCTCCAAATTACTAACGAATTTTTCAGAGTGTTATCGCCTTTTGTGGCTGCGTCCCACAATTTAACTCCTGCCCTGTCCCACAGAGACCTCAAACACAGTGGACTCATCAGTCTCTGGATAACGTGCCTTCAACCATTTCAACATTAAGTCTGTCTCTTTAAAGATTGCTCCCTTCTTAAGGACTGAAGACATTTGTAAAACGGAAGCTTCTTCCTTAGTAATGTTCCTCCCCATAGTCCCATTCCCAGCTGCTCACCTTTTCCAGATGACAGTATGTCCAGACCTCTTCAGTGCTCCCCCACCGGCCTCCTCACCTCTCCCAGGTGATATAGGTTCATGTCCAGATGACTTCGGTGCTCCCCCACCGAACTCCTCTGAGTTCAGCAGAGCTATGCCACCGGCCGCCGACTCCGAAAGATTAGCCCGAGTTCCTCCTGTTCGGGCACCGTTTGTGGCGTATCAAAGACGGACTCCAGCTCTGGTGAAATCTGAAGATCTTTATTTCGCCTCTCGCATCCCTTTTATAGACCACTAAGTGCTAAGCAGTAACTTTCCACTCCCTTGCTTCCTTATCATCCCCATTTAGCAAAACTACTAACGGTTACAAATATACACACTGTTTGGTCTGTCTTTGAGATGCACATCCTCCTTTATCTTGCAAACTGCCTGCTTTGTTTTGCTAACCAATCATTACCCTTCATTGTTCTCTTTACAATTCCCAAGGCTTAGGCCCCAGCAGGAGGTGTTTTCTTTATTGTTCCCAGGGTTTAAACCGGAACGAGGGCAGTAACACCCGAATCCATTTCGTTAACAATTTCTATTCCCACACCCACACAGCTTTGCTTCTCTGCACGACCCCCTTTGTTGGTCTCTCAGCCCTTCCAGCTAACCCCAGTTACATCCTGGGCATGACGTGCTGTGGTATGGAATACCTCTTTGGTCAGTTTGGGTTGGGTGTCCTGTCTCTGCTTCCTCCTGGCTTCCCCTCCTCCCTGGCAGAGCATGAGGCTCACAAAGTCCTTGGCCAAACCAAAACATCGCTATCAGTTCTGTTCCCAGGCCGAAAGTCAAAACACTGCACTGCACCAGCTACCAAGAAGGAGAAACATGACTGCTACTGCTGAACCCAGGACATGAGGTTTGCTCATTTAACTTTGGGTTTAGATTGAGTTCTCACTTTCTTTCCATCCCTCAGACACTGTGATAGAGTTTAAGTCTTTACTTTAAGGAATATATTTTCCCTCACTTCTCACCTGTCAGTAAAAAAAAAATAAAAGTTCTTCAGCTCTCAAGAAATTCCAGAAAAATGTTCCAGAATATTAACAATACCACAGAAAGATGCTTAAATTTATAGTTAATAATACAGATTAAGATAAAGAGTTCAATTTCCACTTGTTCTGCTGTTCTGAACCCATGGAGCTATAACTTTTATTTAAGAGGGGTAGGCAAATTGCAAATGATAACACAGCTATTCATAACATGAAACAATTTCATTGTGCATAGCATTTTCTGACAGCAGTGTTGAATTTGACAGCATAAGCCACCAAAACCAAAATGAAGAAAAAGTAAATATGATGTGTGTATGCCTTGTTAAGGATTCCGTAACTTTCTTTTAATGTGCACTGCTGAAAGCAATTAAAAAGCAATGTGTCCAAAAATCATCATCCAAAACCAGATAGTGAGTACTGTCACAATAAAGCCATCAAAAGAGAATCAGAAGTGGATCATATGTTACCCAATCTTTACTCCTAACATTTTTTGCTGTGTTTTTCATTTTATGCATACCAGCAGTGAGACCTGCTATGAAACACCAGATCAAAAAATTTTATGCAGGTTTGGTTTTAATGCCCAGAAAGTAGTACAGATTTTATGCTGTTACAAAAGTAACAGTGTCATTTACACTCTCAGCAGAAAATTTTTTGAACGTACAAGCAAAGATTTATTTGCATGATCCTTTGTGTGAGACCCTTAACAAATGCAGTCCCTACAGCACATAAGCCTTGTCTAGCAGCTACCAATAAGATACAAAATAATGCAAATAGGGTTCAGAACACAAAAGAACTTAGCCCAACTTGTATATTAAACAGATCATCTAATTTTTATTTTCTTTTCTCCTAGCCCAGAAGTCAAATTCCCTGAGAAAAAAAAAAAAATCCCAAGTTTTACATTATAATTCCTTGACAGAATTTGCCTGACAT